CTACATATGAAATATCACCTATTATCTCGTTCAATCTCATAACAATGCTATTTCCAGTCCCCATTCCCCAATGAGGGACTTGAACTCAGAGAGGTCAGGCAATTCTCCAAGGTCACAGCCAGAGGGGATGCAACCAGGGTTTGAGGAAAGGCGGGGGCGGGGGTGGGGGTGGGGGGGGGGATCTGAGGTTACGGCTCTCACTCTGCCAGTCACCGCCCATCCCATCGCAGGCCTCACCTCCACGTCCTCATCCGCCCTCTGCCGGTTCTGCCGCACCTCCTCCAGCTGCTGCTGGGCCAGCTGCAGGGAGCGGCTCTGCATGGCCATCTCCTGCTGCAGCTCTTGCTTCTCCTGCTGCGCCTGCTCGATGTAGCGCTCCTGGTCCTCCTTCATCCGCATCAGCCGCTTCAGCTTCTCCTCCTCCTCCTCCAGCAGCCTGCGGCCGGCCGGGCGCACTGAGTCGTCTCCAGAGCCCAGGCACCGGTAGGCGCTCAGCAAGCGGGGCGGCGGGAAGCCGGGGAGGGGAGTCCGAGGTCCCTCAGCCTTACCTGGTCTGGGCCAGGCGCACGGCCTCCTCGTCCCGTCGAGCTTTCACCTCCAGTTGCAGAGCCTCCTGAAGCCTCTGCTGCATGTCCTCCAGCTCCTCGATGCGCTGCCGCTGCCGGGCGGCCTCCTCCTCCTTCAGCTCCATCTCAGCCTGCATGGATGCCCGGGCCTGCAGGGGCGCAGAGCAGCTCAGTGGGGCCCAGGGCAGGGAGGCGGCGGGCATGCGCCCTTTCCCCAGCGTCCTGCTAGGCTGGCCCCACTAGTTCTCTCCAGGAGAGAGTCTGGGGAGTTCCTGCATGTCAGCTCTCCTGACCCGATCCCTTTCTGAGAGCCTGGCTAGGCCAGATAACCATCAGCGAGCTGATGCGCCTAGCACCAGCCTTAATCATCACTATTATCTGTGATAACATAATGTGTTATAATTAAGGCTGGTGCTGGGAAGGGAGTGACTATAATTAGAATAATTGTTATGACAGCTGTTTCTCATTTGATCCTCACCAGACCTCTGCAGTCAACATGCCACTGGTAAGTCACTGAGGGACAGAGAGGCCGAGTACCTTGCCTGCGATGCCAGGGCTCCGAAGAGGCAGCGCTGGGAATGAATGAATGCACGTGTCTGACTCCAGTTCTAGATCTCTTCAATCCTAAACCTCATGGCCTCCACACGCTGAGTACGCCCCCACTTTCATCCCCCCCTTCCTCCCATCCTGAATTCCCCAAACTGGCTTCATTGTAAACTCAGATCAAGTCTAGTGTAATCGATTCCAACCCGAATCCAAGTTCATCCCTAATGACGTGGTCTCTGGCGGCTCCGGCCCCACCCACCCGTTGGCTCCACCTCACACCTTCTCTTCTCTCAGCCACCCCCCTGCCAGTTTCCTGCACCCTCCACCCAGTCGTATCCCTCACAGGCCCCGTCCCGCCCCGGTAAAGCCCCCGCCTAGGAAGCTGCGCACCGGAGACAAATCAGTCGCTAGTTACGGAAGGCGCAAAAACTTCGTGTTATGTGGTTGTGATGTGGGTGGGAGAATGAGGAAAATGCTCCTGTGCCAGCAACCTAGCTGACCCGGGATTGGAGGAGAGATGGAGGTATGGAGAACAAGCTTGTCTACGTGTGGCAGAATACCATTTGATATATAAACGCCGAGCGTCTTGCGACACAGTGCATGCTACGATAAGGTGCATATCAATATGTATATATGAATTTCATTATTTGAAGTAAAAGA